AAATACAACAAATAAGTTTGGAAAAAGTCCAGGGGATTCAAAAAAGGACTAAAAGCTGATTTTCAAGAACATCTATAAATACAGCACACACTATAATGAAATAGTCTTATTTTGTCAAAAAAGTATAGACTTAGATATTGCCGTTCATGTTTATTTTGATTTTTTTTAGCCCATTAATCAAGCATACTGTAGCTGCAAGCGTTTCCTTATGTTTCGAGAGATTCCTAATTTACGCAGTTAATGGATTATTTGAAAGCGAGTTGGCGACGTACCAGTTATAACATTTTGGCAAAATTCTGACTTTCTCCTTCTTTTCGCTCGCTGTATGCAAAGGTTTTGTTTGCTCTTCAGATTCGTGCAAATATTTAATGCAAAACAACGTCTGAAACTTGTTTGTCGAAGGATAAGCAAATGGTTTTATATATGTAAACTTTAGCGTGAAAGGGCATAATTTAATATCAGTACAATGAAAACGTTGGGTAGTAGTCATGTTATCGCATTTTCTGTAGAATTAGGGATAAAAACCTACGCCTTTTTAATAAGCAAAGGCTGAAGGAGCCCAGCTTTCTCCAAGTACATAATGCCTTCTTCAACTATTATAAAATTAGCTTATGTAGTTTTTTTCATGTATCTCTTAGCTTTCTTTTTTAAGTTGATGAGCTCACCTCGTCGTTGCAAAAATGTCATTATTTTGGCCCTTGTAGTCTCTCGAAGACGTTTAATTTCTTCGGAATGCTCCACGCCTTCCGCTTTCTCTGCCTTTTCATCTGCTTCAATCAAAGAAAGCACCTACAAAGAATTGAATAGCATAAAATTTTGGAAAAAGAATTCAGTGAGAAACCTTACCTCACTAACTTCTGCTGCCTCATCGGTGTTGAGAATGCTCGGTGATGCCAGCACAGGCGCTGGTGGTGATTCTGATTTATTCGTTGTAGTTTCAGGCTCTTTCGTTGTAGTTACTGTTTCTGTAGTAGTCGTAGTGATTTCTTCAACAGTGGTTGTGGAAGGTTCTACAGTAGTTGAGGTTGATGTCGTCTCTAAACTTGTGCTAATTTGACTAGCAGTCGTTTCCTTTCGATTTGCAAGCAGCGTGGCTGCAAAGGCTCTGGAATGTTCCAGGAATTCATTAGTGCT